AAAAGTATTTTTTTGTATTTTGTTTTTAATAGTTAGGTACACAATTAAGAAATAGTGCATTTAAAAAACTATAGTAAGTATTACACAAGTGAGGATGTGAAAGCCCTTGGAATCTCCTTGACCAGCCTAAGTGTATTTGAAGTACTTGCAAATTTTCTAACTCTGATATCATTAGAAACATATTTTCACCAACTGTAATAAGAAAACTAGTATAATACTCTTAAAGATAAAACAGAAACTGAAGGTCCTAAGCACAATAGTAGTGCTTCTTTTTCTATACAGATGGTACAGAGTTGCGGCTTACTGATTAAGTCATATTTATTAATAGAACATTTAAATGCTATTAGGAAGATGGGCCTTGTCAATAAGTGCAATAATAACCAGATGATACATACCTTGCATTTTTTGTATATTGAAGTTTTTAAGCAATTATTGATTTGTATAGTTCATAGTAACATAAGGAGGTAAAAACCAAAATTGATTTTTGTCCAGTTACCTGTTTAATTTCACCATAACACTTTTCCTCTTCAATGGCATGAAATCACGTTTGTACATTGTACTGCCTTACTATTCTTTCTTCAAGATAAGGGGCTTCTGGTCTACTGGTTGAGATTTTGAAGTTGGTGAAGTATGATAAATTTAACAAAATTGTAAAAGCTGATGTATCTAAACATAATGTCCTAAAAGCCCTACCTGTTACCTGAATCCCAGAAAATGCTTTGGGTTTCTTGTACCCCATTATGTAGTCAATTATTTTTCTGTATTAGAGCTATACCAGATCCTCATACTAATCTTTCCTTTTTACAGTTAAAAAGAATTCTTTTATGTTGATTACTACAAAGAGACTCTAAGCAACAAAGCACTAAAATACTTGACTAACCAAATGACGATTTTTCAAACAGAAAGAGGAAGAAAAATGAGAAGGTGTGTAATGTTCAACAAGAAATGTAGCAAGTAATATTTTGGTATTTGCCAAAATTCACTTCTAACACTTCAATTTGATTTTCTTGAATGTTATGGAAATTATATAACAACTAACTTGACATTAGAATTGCTGAACTTCAGTACCATAGATATTGTCAATTAATTAGTCTTTGTTGGGAGGACTAGACACAAATATTTTCTAGTTATTTTGTTATTTCTATTATTATTATTTTTATTTTAATAAGCATCAAATCTGGTGATTCATATTTTACCACTATTTTACCTTTATGATAATAAGGACTACCACATTGCTTTAGGAAATACACATGTATTTTCCAATCAGGACTTTAAATATTGGCTATATTCACAAATGATTTCTCTAAGTCAACAATATCCAAATAATTATTAAAGATCTTTAATTTTTACTTTCTCTTAAAAGAGTTTGAGTGGTAAAAACTGGTATCAAATATTGTGTGCATTAGGGTCTTCCTATGGATATTAATGGCTTTGATTAATTTCTGAAATTAAAAAAAAACTAATTTACTATTTTTAGCTCAGCATTTTCAAATTAGTTAAATACACAACATTTTCCCTTTATTATTATTATCATTGTTATTATTATTGATGAATTCCTTTTAACAAGGTCCTTTATAAAAATGTCTCTTCAGTTCTAGAATTATGTGTTTTCCTTTGCCTATTTGAATAAATGAAGATGAATCACAGAGTAAGAACTGATTCTATTAAGTACAGGACAAATAGCATTACCTATATATTGACTTGGTTATTTATCAATATCTTCAGGCCCTTTCTTCTTATCAATATTCTCACCACTGTTGGATTCCTGTAAGACTAATCCAGTCAGAGCATCCTAATGATTCCTTGCCTTCCCTCACAGAAGCAAAGATGAGAGAACAATCATTTATCATATTCCCAGTTACAATTAATGACTCTCAGCTTTAGAATATATCTAATCTGTCAACAATTCAAAGCACAAAGTAAAATCTAAGTTCCAGTTTTAGTACCAAGTTTGGCTGCTACACCCGTTGTAGCTTTTAAGTACCATTGAAAGCCCAAACAAAACAAACAAACAAACAAACAACAAATAAACTCCATCTGAGGAGAAGAAATTATAACTGCACCATGTTACGTTGGAGAGTGAAAATGAATAAATAAAAAGTAAATTATTTCTCATGCTGTTCACTGTTTTTTATTTTGGTACCTTGTGTCTTGAATATAAGTTTACTTTGTCTCACAAAATTGTGAGACAAAGGACAAAGGGTGAACCAATGCAACAGTGATACTCACAAGACACTATGTTGGAAATGAACTTTACAACTTGAGTGAGGAGAGGGGAGACAGGGGAGGAAAAGTGGAAGAAAAACGAGAAAGGGGGTAATGCTCAACAAGAAATGTACACATTGCCTTACTATAACCCCATCTGTATATCACCTTTGCAATAAAATGAAATATTACCTTTTAAAAAGTAATGTCTTTTCTCATGCTGTTCAGAAAAGAAGTTTTATAATTAATGAACAACAGATTTCTCTATGATCAGTCACAATTTTTCCTGTATTTATTTTCTGAAGTGTTCTCTACTGGGAAATAAATGTAGCTATTCTTCTGAGGAAGCAATTGATTCCATGTGTTGGGGGATACAAAGACATTCCAGTTGAGCTCATTGCTAGATTATAACATTTATGTCAAGGATACCTGAAATGAGATGGTTACAGAAACAAAGGACAAAGGAAATACGTTAAAGATATTCACAAGGGCTGAACTGTGAGCATCTTAAATTGATTTTAAATAATGACATGAAACCCTCAAAATAATGGAAATAAAGTCAATCCTTAAAAGATTCAGCATGTTTCAGAAAGTGGGGCAATGGGTGAACTAATTCAGTAGTAATAGTATGTTGAAAATGAATTATAAAACTTGGGAGTGAAGGGGAAAAAATCAAGAGAAGAGGTAACACTGTTCAAAAAGAAATGTACTTAGTACCTGAAATTTTTAACTGTAACCTCCTTGTACATCATGTTTACAATAAAATTAATGAAAAAAAAAACAAAAGAAAGTGAATAATATAGAATAATAATATAGAACATGATGTGATTATAAAAATAGGGAAGAATTAATGTAGATAGAGGAACTGTTCCTTCAATTTATTCATGAACTACTAAGATGTATTCTTTAATAGTCAGGTTAATGAGCATGTAAAATGTAGCTGAATTGGTGGTGGTGGTGGTGGTGGTGGTGGTGGTGGTGGTGGTGGTGGTGGTGGTGGTGGTGGTGTGTGTGTGTGTGTGTGTGTGTGTGTGTGTGTGTGTGTGTGTGTGTACCAGTTCTACAACTCAAACTCAGGGCACAGGTTCTACTGTTACTTTTTTTTTCAAACAGTTAGCACTCTACCACTTGAGCCACAGCTTCACTTCTGCCGTTTTTTGGTGGTTAATTGGAGATAAGAGTCTCATGGAAATTTCTGACCAAGCTGACTTCAAACTGTGATCCTCAGATCTCAACCTCCTCAGGACCTAGGATTAAAGGCATGAGATAATGGCACCTAGCTTGAAAGGAAACTTCTTTTATTTTTTTTTTTAAATTGTAATGTCAAGGTGATACACAGAGTGGTTGCAGTTATATATAAAAGGTAGTGAGTGCATTTCTTGTCGAATTAGTTTCCCCTCCCTCACTTTTCTCCCACTGTCCCTCTCCTCAACCCCACACCAAGTTGTACTGTTTCCTTCCAACATATTGACTTGTGAGTATGGCTTTTGCATTGGTTTGCCTTTGTCGTTTGTCTCACCATTTTGTTGTTCCTCTTCCTTTCCTTAGTTTGGATAAATGTATATAAAATACCCAGAATTACCAAAATCAAATACAGTTAAAACAGGTCATAAAACATATGAAAAAAAGAAGAATAAATCATAATAATGCTCGACAAGAAATGTACTCATTATCTTACTCATATGATTGTAACCCCCTGTACAAAATATTTACAATAAAATAAAATTTAAAAAAGAAATTACATAGTACATTAAACACAACAACAAAGGAAAACCTCTTATGTCCACGTCTTGGTTAATTTTGTTTACCATCATAGTATATGGTCATATGTGCATAGTTATTGAGCTATTCTGCTCATCTGCTAGGATTATCCTAGACATACTAAATATTACAAATGAGGACACTTTGAGACCTATGTTTCTTTGGGTCTGGCTTACTTCACTTAATACGATTTTTTCCAAGTCTTTCCATTTCCTTATCAATAGGGTAGTGTCATTCTTTCTGAAGGAAGTATAGAATTCCATTGTGTATATATACCACATTTTCTTGATCTGTTCATCTACTGAGGGGCATCTGGGTTGGTTCCATATCTTAGCTATGGTAAATAATGCTGTGATAAACATAGTTGGGCTGGTAGCATTAGTATGGCCTTGTTTGTAGTCATTTGGGTATATGACCAGAAGTGGGATTGCTGGGTCATAGAGAAGCTCTATGTATAGTCTTTTGAGGAACCTCCATACTGCTTTCCAAAGTGGTTGAACAAGTTTAAACTCCCACCAACAGTGCAGTAGTGTTCCCTCTTGACCATATCCCCTCCAGCATCTGTTATTATTACATTTCTTGATTATAGCCATTCTAACTGGGGTGAGATAGAATCTCATTATTTCTTATTGTAAAGGTGCTGTACAGAGGGGTTACAAGTTACATAAGTAGGGTAATGGGTATATTTCTTATCAAACATTGTTACCCACTCCTTCATTTCTCTCCCACTCTTCTTCCCTCCCCTGTTCCTCCCCCCTCCCCCAAAATTGTGAAGTTTATTCCAACATAGTGTTTTGGAGTATCATTGCTGAATTGGACCATCCTGTGTCCTTGTTTTACTCTTTTGTAATTCCCCTTCCCTTCCCCAAATCAGATAAATAGATCTACAAGATTCAGGGGATCAGAATCAAAGACAATGATTGCTAGGGAAAAACCAAAGGAAAAAGAAAAATGAAATAAAAGAAAAGAAAGGAACTTGATAGAGTACCTTGATGACAACAAGGTCAGCAACCAAAAAAAAAAAAAAAAAAAAAAAAGAACAATTGTTCCATGTCTTGGAGTTCATTTCAGTTAGCATCATTTCATATGGTTATTTATACATAGCTATTGAGCTATTGTGATCCTCTATTAGGATTATCCTAGACATTAGTTACTGCAAATAAAGGAAACCATACAGCCTATGTTTCTTTGGGTCTGGCTTACTTCACTTAATTTTGATTTTCCTTTCTTTTATGACAAGAGATGTTGAGTATTTCTTCATATTCTTATATCTCTTCAGGGAAGTCTTTCTTTAAGTCTTTAGCCACTTATTAATTGGGCAATTCTTCCTTTGAGGAATTGTTTTTGGGGGATTCAACAATGGAATAGAACTGAAGACCCAGAAATGAACCCGCAGACCTACAGCCACCTAATCTTAGATAAGGGAGCCAAAAAAATAGTATGGAAGAAAGCCAGCTCCTTCAGCAAATGGTGCTGGCAAAATTGGTTAAACACATGTAGAGAACTAAAGTTAGATCCTTATATATCACCTTACACCAGAATCAATTCTAAATCGATCAAAGACCTCAAGGTAAAACCAGATACCCTGAAAACATTACAGGAGGAAACAGAGAAACACTGGGGCTCCTTGGCACAGGCCAAAATTTTCTCAATAGAGACCCAGAAACACAACAAATCAAAGAAAGGTTGGACAAATGGGATTGCATTAAACTGCATTGCAAAGGACACAGCTAGCAAGAAAAAATAGAAAGCCCACAGATTGGGGAAAGATCTTCATTGTCCATACAACATAACTAAAATATACTTAAATTTATCTTTATTTGTTTATTTTTTATCAGTCGTGGGGCTTGAACTTAGGCCCTGAGCACTGTCCCTGAGCTATTTTGCTCAAAGCTAGCTCTCTACCACTTTCAGTCACCAGCCACCGTGCCACTTCTGGTTTTCTGGTGGTTAATTATATATAAGGGTCCTATGGAATTTCCTGCTAGGGCTGGCTCTGAACCACGATCCTCAGATCTCAACCTCCTGAGTAGCAAGGATTGGATGCATGAGCCACCAAGCACCTGCCAAAAGGAAACTTGATAGAAAGCTTTTAATTTTAATCTGATGTAGAGGAAATACACCTTTGCCTTTTTAGTAATTTGTAAGAACAATAAATATTTTGAGTTATATGATAATAAGAAAAATTACTCTATTCATAATTTTGAATAAGTATTTTTAAAAATTATATAAAAAGAATGGACCAAATTATTGACATTTAAAAGGAAGTTTACAAATGCAAACAAAGCTTGAACTAATAATTAGTTTCTGGTTGGAAAATTGTTTGGAGAATCAGCCAGATCTAATGAAACAATACAAACATCATCAATTGCTTGATACTGCAGAACATGTAATTACTTTGGCTTGAGAATTTATTGTTCATATTTTTGGTCTGTAAATATTCATTAAGCCTAGAAAGATATAACCACAAGCACTGTTATCAATATAAGAAGTATGAAATTCAATAGAAACCATGACCAGATGCTCAGATTTTTAAAAGATCTTTAAACTCTGGATACAGTCTGGTAGATAAGAAGCTAAGAAATTGCCAGTCCATCCTAATAAGTGAAAAGAAGAACAACTTTTCTTAGACCTTTAGGAGAAACGAGGGCATAGAAAAAACTGCTAACCTCAAAATTGGGGCAACAGACATGCTGACATAGGTAACTCCATTTATATAAGCAGAAATTCACAAATAACAGCCTTTCAGGGGAAAATGAAGAATAATTGAACATATGAAGGCACAATATGGATTTTCCCATAGCTCTAATCCCTCAAAGAATGGTTTAAGGAGCATTTTCTCACTTGTATGAGCTTGATTCCCAAGACCTTGACAAGGTTCTCACAGTAAACATCCAAGAAAAACATCCTCTAATGTTTCCAGCAGATAGAGAAGTAAAGGAAGGTTTAAATTGTGTTTTTAATGTCTGCTTTAAAGAGAAACTAAAGCAGAGGAGGTGGCATAAAAAAGAAAATAAATGGTAATTACGGGCTAATGCAACAACATAGTATCAGTTGAATGATAGCATGTCATAATGTGACTACTCAGACAGTGAAAAACAAGGTCACCCCAATGTGGCTGACCATCAGGCACTGTCTTTTGCTTCATTGTAGTAGGATGAGTAATTGGCTGTTCACATCTTGCATCTGACAAATTCACAAACTTTAAATCTTCCTATACAGACAGAAATGAAGTGTAACCTTAGCCCCAAAATATCCTTTAAATCTTGACCAAAAAATCTGCTGCCCATTAAAATCAATGGGGACTACAACTCAATCTGAGAAAAGTGCACGTCCCCCAACACTCAATCTAAGTATGTATTTCACTCTAAGACAAAAGATTTCTCTCAGTCACTTAATTCTTCTTGATGGTGACAAGAATCTGAAAAAAATGTGTAGGGATCGCTATATCTTGTCTTTGCTGAGGTCTGCCCAGGTTTGCCACTGGCAACAAAACGTTTACCAGAATTTCACCAGCTAAATTTTTGTTTTGTTTTGTTTTTTTGTTTTCTTTCAGAGCTGAAAGAAAATACTCAACTCCATTTTCCCCTGACCATCTAGTTTCACCTCAGGGTAAGTGAGTGATCTGTATGAAGTTTACTGTAAAGACCGAGGCTTTGAGGTTCTGAAGAAGGTGGTGGAGGAGAAGCTGTAGGCAAAACAAGCTCTTGCATAGAAAGCACTTTTAGTGTTCCAGTGAACAGTCCTAGAACCCTAAGATATGTATTCAAATGTTTTTTTTCTTTCATGCGATTGTTTCTAACACATTTATAAGATTATTTCTTTGTTGCTTTGTATGCCCCTCTCCCACAGTATAACCCCTGCTTTCACTGTATTTGATGTCGGTATAATTTGTGGAGGGGAAGGGGAAAAAAGAAGTCGTTTAAATAGAGATACAGGTGGACCCATTGCAACAATGAGAAATACAAGTCGTTATGTCGAAGATGAACTTTACAACTTTGGTGGGGGGGTGGGGGGAAAGGATTGGGGGGTCAGGATGGGAAGGGATGGGAAGGGGAAACAAAGGAGGAGGCTACAATGCTTGATAAGAAATGTACTCATTATCTTGCCCATGTAAGTATAACCCCTCTGTACATTTTTTTCACAATAAAAAAATAAAAATGAAAAAAAAAGAGAGAATCACACCAAGTGTGCCATCACAGTACAGAGAGTTTACCAGAGAGGGAAAATTCAAGCAGCTTGGTTAAGGAGACAGATCAAAGTACTTGCCAGTGTCAAGGGCAGTGGCAGCAGATGCCACTACAGCTGCCATATCAACAGAAAGAGCCCAGGAGAAAAGCACCTGACACACAGCCAGCAAGAGCTAACAAGGAGCAGAAATTTTCATCCTGCTGATCACAGACCATGGACGGCCAGTAAACCAAGAGTCTGGCATGAGTAACCCCAAGACATCCTCAATCCTCATGGAACAGCAGTGGGAAGGTAGGCCCACCCCCACCACTAGAGAAGAATTCCATCTTTGATAATGACAAAGGCCTAGTCCAAGCAGATAGGTACAACTCAGGCCTTGGAAGAAAACAATAGGGGCCATTCAAAAGATAAAAGGAACCTGACCTGCCCTGCTCACTTACACCAAGGGGAAAATTGTCTTTCCCAGGCAGAGGAAACTCTGCCCCAGAGGAAACTCTGCCCCAGAGGAGTGACTTTTTTCACTGGGTAAGCAGAGCCAGAGGCTGCCCCTCCCCACTGCAGCCTAGCCCAGGCTGACTCAATAGCAGAGTGGTAAAAGACAAACAATTCAAACTCATAACATAAATCCTGAGAGTGGCTCTATGCTGGGCTGTGTGAGTGTCTCAGGACCCAACCCCTCAGGGAAAAGCTACTGATTGTTGACAGGCTTCAATCCTACCCACAACCTAGCCGAATTACAACAACTCCAAGCTATAGGAAACAGCCATCTCCCTCTTTTTTGATACTCAAAACAGATATCCCTCCCACTGAACTATACTGGGAGGAGGATCACAAAGTCCTGGGTAAGACAGAGCATTTTCCTGCCTGATCAAACTGACTTAAGAAACCAATCAAGCCATAAGAAAACCAAACACCACAAGCAAACCAGAGATTCTACCAAGAGACTGATTAAGGCCACAGGGGAGATACAAGATCCTCCCCACTCTAAAAAAAAAAACAAAAATCAAAGAACCCTTTTTTTCTACTTAGTTGTTTTTAAATTTTTTTATTAATAAGTTTTTTTATTGTGAAAATACTGTGCAGAGGGGTTGCAATTACATGAGCGAGGTAATGAGTACATTTCTTATCAAGCATTGTTGCCTTGGAAGTGGCACTGTGGCTCAAGTGTTAGAGTGTTAACCTTGAGCTGAAGAGCTCAGGGACAGCACCCAGGCCCACAGTTCAGGCCCCACGACTGACAAAAAAAAGAAAAGAAAAGAAATGTTGCCTCCGTCTTCTTTGTTTTTCTCTTGCCATCCTTGCCCTCCCATCTCCACAACTATACCCCCTACTTCCCGCCAACGTTCTTAAGTTCAGTTTTCAGCTAAAGACTTAAAAAGAAACTTCTCTGAAGAGGAAAGAAGGATGGCCAATAGACACATGAAGAAATGCTCAATCTCTCTATCCATAAAAGAAATGCAAATCAAAACAACATTGAGATACCACCTCACCCTTGTTAGAATGGCTATAATCAAGAACTCTAATAACAACAGGTGCTGGGGGAGATGTGGACGGAAGGGAACCCTACTGTTTTTATTTTTTTAATTGTTTTCTACTTTTCTTTCACAATTTGTAATTTAGGGGTGTGTGTGTGTGTGTGTGTGTGTGTGTGTGTGTGTGTGTGTGTGTGTGTGAGTGAGAGTGTTTTGTTTTTGTTTTTGTTATTTAATCTCTTTTAACATTTTAGTCCTTTTAATTTTTTGTGTGATTTAATTGCTATTCTGTTTTTCTCTAGATATATACCCGTTGTTATTAGACCTTATCCTTCATTGTGTACATACTTAATTCAGAAATTGAGTACTAAATTTGCAACCTCATAGGCTTAACTCATTTAATGGTAGTATTATTTCTTTATAGTTACATAATTTTTAAGTATTACATTTTTTAATTTTTAATTTTTTTCATTTTTCTTTTTTTATCTCTCCTCTCATTCCATCCTTTTCTTCTACCTCTATTATTTCTTTATACTTACATAATTTTAAGTGTTTCATTTTTTTAATTTAATTTTTTTTCATTTTTTTCTTGTTTCTTTCTCTCTCCTTTCACTCTGTTATATCCATTTCTTCTCTAAAATTAGGGATTGGTTAAATTCACTCTTTCCTTTTACCTCTCCACAATCTTCTAATCCTATTTTCCCCCATAATTCTGCTTTAAACCTATTAATTTCTGGTCTGCTGAATCTCTTTGACATTCTTAGCCCATTAATCCATAGTTGTTTATGTTGAATTAAATTGTGTCTATTGAAATAGATTTTATCTGCAGCCATTTTTCCCATGTCAATCAATCTGTATAACTACAGGACTCTGGTTGATGATTGCCTTAAAATAGTGTTCTAGCGCAAAATTGGTGTTACTTTTATACCATACGGGCAAGAGAAACACAAGAAAAATGGCAAATCCAGGTATCTCAACTCCCACTCATGATAATCAGGTAACAGAACAGTTAGTGAATAATCCAGAGGAGAGTTCCCCAAAACCTCTATAAACACTACTGGTAAACATGGTGAATGAAAAGATGGAAGGCCTGCAAAGGACTTAGTATGAGTGTGATAGAGAGAGAGACAAGGCCAATCAAACATTAATACAAGAACTTCATGAGCATAATGAGGCTAACCAGTAATTAATACATGAATCTCATGAGCATGAAGAAGCTAATCAAAGATTAATACAGGAATTTTGTGAGCAGGCAGAGAATAGTCAAAGAGTAATACAGGAATTACATGAGCATAAGAAAGTTAATCAAAGAATAATACAGGAATTGTGTGAGTGGGATGAGAATAGACAAAGATCAATAGAGGCATTCATGGAATCCATAAACAGACAGCTGAAGGAATCCAGGAAGGCCACAAATGGAATGCTGAATGTAGTCAGACAGAAAGGGAGTCCAATGAAAACATAACCAATCAACTAAGGGAATTGAGAATACACACTGAAAACCAAATTAAGGAAGTAAAGAAGGCCTGTCCAGATCTAAAACAAAGCTCCAACAAAGAATTTGAAGTAGAAGTCTTGATAGTAGGTTAGACCATGAAAAGATCAAATCTCAGGGATTGAAGACAGCCTAGATATTATAAAGAATGGACATACAATTATGCAAGACCAATCCAAGAAATATGATAGATATATTCAACATTTGGAAGATACCATCAGAAGGACTAATCTGAGGATAATCTGGGTGTAGAAGAGCACCTAGAGAGAGAAGTTAATGGTCTAGGAAATTTGCTTAACAGGATCCTAGCAGAGAACTTCCCAAACATGCAAAAAGTTAGGCCTATTCAGATACAAGAAGCTTTTAAAGCCCTAAATAGACCAGACCAAAACAGGACAACCGACTGTCACATTTTAATCCACTCAGGATCAATTCAGAACAAGCAATGGATCCTTAAAGCTGTAAGGAGAAAAGATCAATCACCTGAAAGGGAAACCAATTAGAATCACCTCAGATTTCTCAGCAGAGGCAATTAAAACAAGAAGAAATCTGGAATGATATATGCCACACCTTAAAGACAAACAACTATCTACCAAGAATGCTGTACCCAGCTAAACTCTCTTTCATACCCATAGGTCAAATAAAAACCTTCCATAGCAAAGAAAAACTAAAACGATATATCTTCACCAAACCAGCCAAAAGATACTTAAAGATGTCCTACATGTAGAAAACCAACAAGAGAACAATAAGGGCCAAAAAACTGCACCCAAACAGAATCCAAGAATCAAGGAAGAACCTAGTTGGCAAAGCCCCAAGAAGGTGGATAACATGGCAGGAACTACCAAACATCTCTCAGTCCTAACTCTCAATATTAATGGATTTAATTCTCCAATTAAGCGACATAGAATGTCTAGTTGGATTAAAAAGCAAGATCCTCCTATCTGGTGCCTTCAAGAGTCACACCTTGCCCATAAAAACAAATGTATTTTGAAAGTGAAAGGCTAGAATAAAATCTACCAAGCAAACGGCCCCCATAAACAGGTGGGAGTTGCAATATCAGATCCTAATATCAGATAAAATAGACTTCAAATTAAAATTACTCAGAAAAGATAAAGAAGGTTGCTATATACTAATTAAGGGATCTCTCCTTCAGGAGGATATTGCAATTCTAAATATCTATTCACCAAACAATGAAGCACCCCAATTTATTCAAGAAACACTACTTTCCCTCAAATCTCACATAGATCCAGAGACATTAATTGTTGGGGACTTTAACATACCACTATCTCCACTAGATAGTTCAACCCAGAAAAAAACTCGAGAGAAACTGCAGATCTAAGTAACTGCTTAGATCAACTAGATTTCACAAACATCTATCGAATATTTCACCCAGCAGCATCAGAATACACGTTCTCCTCAGCAGTACATGGAACATTTTCCAAAATAGAACACATTTTAGGTCACAAAGCAAACTTATCCAAATTCAGAAACATTGGAATTTTGCCCTGCATTCTTTCAGACCAGAAGGGAGTAAAATTCGAACTCAATGCCAAAATCCACCAAAGAAAGTCCTGTAACACATGGAGGCTGAATGATACACTGTTGAACTACTAGTGGGTCACAGAAGAGATTAGAAAGGAAATACAACTGTTCACGATATTCAACAACAATGAACACACAAATTACAGCTCCTCTGGGACACAGTAAAAGCAGTACTCAGAGACAAGATTATAGCTCTGAGTCCCTTTATCAACAAATTGGAGAAATCTAAAACCAATCATTAATGAGAAACTCCGTGAAAAAGAGCAGCAAGCTAAACCCCAATCCAGTACACAGAAAGAAATAATTAAAATTAAATCAGAATTGAATGAATTAGAATAAAAAAAACAGAAAACATAGAAAGAATCAACAAAACAAAGAGTTGGTTCTTCGAAAAAATTAACAAAATTGTCAGTCACTTACCAAATCTTATCAGAAAAAGAAGAAAACCCACCCAAATAAACAAACTCAGAGATGAGAATGGAAACATCACCACAGAAACAATCAAGACTCAGAAAGGATTGGGCGCGTTTGGGCTGTAGACTAGTCCTATGTTGAAAACAAACTTTACAACTTTGGTGGGGGGGGGGGGGGAGGGTTGAGTAGGGGGTAGGGAGGATGGGATGGGAAGGGGAAACAAAGGAGGAGGCTACAATGCTTGATAAGAAATGTACTCATTATCTTGCCCATGTAATGGTAACCCCTCTGTACAGTATTTTCACAGTAAAAAAAAGAAACAATCAAGATCCAGAACAGAATAAGGGAATAATTCTCAAACTTTTATGCTAATAAGTTTGAGAAGCTGGAAGAAATGGACAAATTCCTAGCAAATATCGACATGCTGAAACTAAACCAA